AAAATCATTCAACCACAAAATATAACAACAATACAAGGTCTGAGGTAGTTAGTAGGAGGAAAGTAAGTACCGGGGGTCTGAGGTAGGTGAGATTTAGAGGAATTTCTGGATCTCGTCGTAGATGGCCAACACCAAGGCTCCACCAGTTCCACGGAAAACGTTCGACAATGCTCCCTTGAACATAGCTCCCATTCCTTCGTTGGCAATGATTTTCTTGGCGCAGTCGAGGGTGTTCTTGTAAAGGATGTCTTTGCGGCCAGACTGCATCATCATACGTCGACGGACGGTATCCCAAGGATATGAGAGGATTCCGGATCCGACTGTGACGACCTGGAATAGGCAAATTTAGGCATGAACTTCCAGAAGAAAATAAAAACAACCCGTCACACTCTGCTCAGAAATGGTTGAAATTTTTTTGGCCTCTTTGCACATTTCGCAACTCTCCTTACGCAGATCCGCGCTAGCCCAAAAGCCTAGAAGGCTCCCTTGACACGCAACTGCTGCCGTCCTCCGCGTCAAGGTAGCATACTGACGCTTTTAGTTTGGCGCGCAAACTGTGCGGGGCCACAAAACCACTTTTTAGCGCTTCTGAGCTAAGTGTGTCCTATGCCAAAAGTAACCAAACATACCTGAGCGATAGCCCATGCGACGAAGAAGTTCAGGTGGCCATCAGCAGCGAAGATCATCTTGGCAGTGTCGAACATTCCGAAGTATGCGGCACGGTAGATGATGATACCTTGTACGGAGACAAGGAAACCACGGTACAAACCGATCGGACCATCGTGCTTAGCGACCTTGACGAGGCAATCCAACAATCCCTTGAATTCACGGTTAGCGCCCTTTCCGACATCGGCAGCAAGACGTGTTCGGGCGAAATCCAGAGGGTAGACGAAGCAAAGTGAGGTAGCTCCAGCAGCACCACCAGAGGCCAAGTTTCCGGCAAAGAACTTCCAGAAGTCCTTCTTCTTGTCAAGACCTTCCAAGAACATCTTCTTGTAGGTATCCTTGAAGGCGAAGTTCAGGGCCTGCGTGGGGAAGTATCGGATGACGTTGGCCAAGTTTCCTCGCCACAAAGCGGTGAAACCCTGCTCCTTGGGCACACGAACAAGGATATCGATGATACCCTTGTATCTGTTGTCAACTGTGATGCTTTTGGAGGCATCTTGTACCTAAAAATGAGACATTTTGAGAAAATGGCCTCACGACGACTACGTAGATCAAAAAAGGTCAGATTACCTACCTGAAGGAGAAGTTTCACACGCTCGATAGGGGCGACAGCAGTCTTGGAGACGGCAGCAGCGGTACCTAAAAGTACGCAATAAGTGCAGTCCAATAGAGACAATAGAGAACTGCAGCCATTGCACCTGCATAAAAAAGCCATAGGACCTGAAACGAAAGAAAAGCGCTTACCTCCAGAGGCCAAGTCGATAAGGAACTTCTTGACGTCGAACTTCTTTGCTTCAGGCATGTTGCAAAAAGTTAGTGGACCTCCCGGTTGGTGCTTGCCAGGCAATAGCAAAGAATAATGTCCTCCTCAAGAATCCCACCCCTTCCGCGGAACCATTCCAATTTTTTGCCGCCATGCGGGTCCTGCGACAACCTTACTGTGGGCGCCAGTTCAAGAGTTGGCTACGGACCAATCATTTTCGACGAGTA